CCCATCCTATGCTGGCTGGGGAATTCTGGGAGTTGAAGTCCACCCATCTGAAAGTTGCCAGGGTTGAGAAACACTGACTAGGCGAAACATTACTACATAGTCTGTGCATCACCGAGGGTTGTTCCCATGCTTCACGGGCCAGAAAGGGGGCCATAGAATGGATGGGTTCTTACCAAGGCTGAAAAGAAGTCCTGCGCAGAAGCCACACACAGCTGGTTTCTTTGGAGAAGATCAGGGAAAGGGGGCAGCGGATGCCAGGTCGATATCCGGAGGTCCCCCAACAGGGTCAAAGATTGCATCACGCGGGACGCTGCTGGAGGAAATGGCCCCCATCTCAAGCAGAAGGATGGGGGCTTCTTTGCAAAGAGGGGGTGAGCTACAGGCTGGGAAGCCGTGAGATCAACCTTGGGGGAGCGATTGTGGCTTAAGGCTTTGGGCAAACCTGAAACTGGGCATTCATCTGTGCTTTTTGAAAGAAAGCAAGTAAAGATGCCTTCAGGACAAGGCCAGCTGCTGGTGGTGCCCTGGCCGAGCCCTCTTGTCTTTCCCCTTGCGTTCCTTTAGGGGTTTTTTTTTTCACCGTTCCACTAAATTAAGCTCTGGGCTTTCTTGGTGGTCTCCCATCCCAGTAGCAGCCAGAAGGTGAAATAACAAAACTGAGGTAAACAACACTTGGTTTTCAGCTGAACCGTCTTGTCTTCTGAAGAGGGTTTCGGAGGTCCCAGCAGCCTGTGCCGGCAGGCTCGTGATGCCTTGCCCGTGACAATGAAACGGACATGCCTTGAAGCATGGTCTGGATCACAGTCCAGTGTGGCGCTACTGCTGCTACGCCCACATAGCCTCGAGCCCTGGCAAATGCCAGTATATACCACCGACCCTCTGGGCTGGCATCTGGCATCAGAGAGCCTTCGAATAAAAATGAACACAGCAGGGCGGGTGGCAAGATGCCACCCATACTGTTATTGGGATTTATTTATTTATTTAATTAATTAATTAATACACTGCCCATCTCCCCAGAGGGTAACTCTGGGCAGCTCACAGTTAAAATGTCAAAGAAGAGAAGGGAGTCCAGACGGCCTCTGGGAGGAAAGTTTGCCTGCCGTAAGTTCTGGGCACAGCAGAATGCCGCCTGACGTCGAGTGTGCGGCCACTGCCGCCGCCTTGACTTTTTTGACCCCTCTCCCCACGGACCTCCGGAACAACCTCCAGAGTTTGGCAGTAAACTTGCTCTTCGACTGGCTGCCAAAACCAGTTCTTGCCCAGTGTAAAAAGCACGGGGAGACCAGGCTCCCTGAGACATGGGGGGGACTTTGGGCCTCCCTCACGGGGTCACTGTTGGGGGAAAAGTAGGACGGAGCACTGCGCTGGCCTCCTTGGCTCCCGTGGCAAGTGGCGGGCTCTAGCCCCAATGAATTCGGAGTAAATCGCGGAAGCCCTGCTGAACGGCTGCCTCGTTTACTGCGTTGCAGGGAGCGCTACAGGCTGAGTAACTGCAGCAAGGACACGTATTTCGGGTTCATAGAAAACCAAGGGAGAAACTGTTTCCTGAATTTGCCCAAGGACGTCTCCGAGATCAAGATGTGCGGGAACGGCGTGGTGGAGAGCGGCGAGCAGTGTGACTGTGGTACGGACGAGGTTAGAGCTTGTGCGTTCGGCCAGTTCGCGCTACGCAGAGGCCGCGCTGGCTTCTTCCGGGCTCCCTCCATTTTCAGCCTCTCTTGGAGGAGAAATTCTCGCCCACAACTTTAATTTTGCTTCTTGCACCCGACAGCCACAGGGCAACTCAATTTTCTTGCACCCTCTCCTCGCAAAGCAGTTTGCTCATTTCTCTTCTTAATGGAAAGTGCCTGTCAGAGAAAAGTCTGTACGAAATGTACATATGTTCATGAAAACAAGGTCCCAAAATACAGCAGCCGTGCGCTTTGAGCAGATTTGCAAACAAAAACGCACCTAGGCACAAAAATGCATCTTTTGTTAACAAGATTTTCTTTGTTTTTTACAAAAAATCTTGCCTTGGCATGGGAATCAGAAATGGAAAAATGAGAGAGAAAGCAAAATTAAAAGGGTTGGGCTTCCCTTTTCTTACACACCATTTTGTCAGCGACTTCATTTAGTCCTAACTTAAATTTCGATCCCCTGCTACGTGTCATCCTGTTCAGTCTTAACTGCCCAAGTGCTAGAAAGGTATTCCCGGCTAGGGGAGGGCCAGCCCAATCTCGCCTCCCATAACTGACCGCTGTCCCCAGGTCCACCGTCCCTTCGGTCCATCCCACCTCCCTCCCTGCCTGACCTCTTTCAAACCAGCCCTTCGGATTCCCTTGCAGAGGATCCCGACCACTCGGGGTCCCGTGGGGGAAAGCCGCGGTGCAAACCTTGCGATGCTGATGCACCCCACCCCGACCCGTTTTAACGTAGCCTGAGTTTCATGCAGACACGCCCTGCTGAGTTTGTCCCAGCTCCAGGTATTTCGAAAGTTTGGGTTCCAAACATCCGTTGGAAAAACCCTTGGGCCAGCTTTCCTAAAGGAAGAGACCTTATTGATTGATTGACAGATTTCAGATAAATGGATAAATAAATAAATGGGTTACTGGGGTAGGCTTTCATGGCCAATATCTGTTGAGCTTCAGGGTGTAGTGACGGTGGTCTACCCCAGTGGTTCTGAGCCTTGGCAACTCTAAGATGTGTGGACTTCAACTCCCAGAATTCCCCTGAATAGACATTTTGGGGTGCTTCCTTGCCCTCTCCCCATCATTCTGAGCCATGGGGAGGTAATTGGGCACTCTCACCCCCATTCCCATTATTCACTGTTTTCACAAAAGGGAGCCACTCACAAAGTCTTATTCTTTACGCCAGTGTTTCTCAACCCTGACAACTTCAAGAGGTGTGGACTTCAGCTCCCAGAATTCCCCAGCCAGCGTGGGTGGACTTCAACTCCCAGAATTCATGCTGGCTGGGGAATTCTAGGCACCCACACCTCTTAAAGTTGCCAAGGTTGGAAAACACTGGTCTAGTCCGTGGTCCCTAAACCCTGAAGCTCAACAGTGCCCAACAAATCAATAATTCCCATTTCCTAGGCTGCTCCCTCCGGATCAGAAGGTAGGTGCCCTTACAGCAGGACTGGAGGGGGCTTTGGGCCAATGGGGGTCCCAGGGTCACACCCTCCCTCTAGAGATCTGTTTGACCCCCACCCCACCCCGAGCTTACTGAAACCAGCCTTTCAAACCTGGTTCTGCCCCTAGGCATCGTGGGGCGATTGGCGGGTTGGATTCTGCCCGTTTTTTCCCAGACTTCCCTTTAGGGGTGACTTGCCTTTCATCCTTTTATCTCATTTTATATCCCATGCCGCCCAGAGTCCTGATGGAGTTGGGCAGCCTTTAATCTAATAATCATAGTAATAAGAACAGCAGCAGCCACAAGAGGTGTCTTCATCGTCCCGATCTTTTGGGAGAAACTGCAGATTCCGGAGACCCGGTTTGGGAAAAGTGGAGAGGGCTGTTACTGTGAATATAAGGGACTTCGGGTTTTAAAAAAAAATTTTTTGGTAATGGCAGCATTTAAGCGGATTATAGAATCATAGTGATGGGAGGTACCTTAGAGGTCATCTAGTCAAGCCGTTTGCTGTAGTGCAAGATCCACTAAAGCAGCATTTCTCAACCTTGGCAGCTTTAAGAGGTGTGGATTTCAACTCCCAGAATTTCCCCCCCCACCCCCCCGGCTGGGGGGGTTCTGGGGTTGGAGGGCAAAGCGCTTTTAGGCGCCCAAGGGGAGGAAAGCAGGGGG